TTGAATTCTCTCAAATATGTTCTAATTTTCTTTCTCTCCCGAAAGGGAAATTCTTAATTGTTCTTATTCTTAGATAGAATAATATCCCACAAAAATATGTTGTTTTAAAAAACTACCGATGGATCATTCCGGTAGGTATGATTTACAGTTATAAGATATGGTGCTAATAGTTAATATTAGTTCCAGATCTTGTAAGGACAATTACAGTCTATAAAATATTTTTATTTTGTAAAAGTTTTATGATTTTTGTAAAGAGTTTTATGCTTTATTCTGAGTATATGATAAGAGCATGTCTTAACTTCAAGTTAAAAGTTTAAACTGTTTTTAAAATAAGCCCTGAGTGACCTCTCAAAGCGTAAAGGCCCAGTGAAGAGGCTAGGAGACGCATAGAAGAGGGAAAGAGATCACTGTTTTAAGAATTCTTGTTAAGGGAGTGCCAGTGGTATCCTTACAAGAATGGAGTTAGGCCCAAGTTCATATATCTCAGATGGCATGTAAAAAAAAAAAAAAAGGGATATTATTTTATCAAAAGAAAAAAATATCTCAATTAAGAAGAGTACTGAGTAGGATTTTCATAATTTGTTTTAACAACCTCCTACAACAGCCTTCAAATCCTTGAAATACTAACCTTATTTCAGGACCCCCCCTCTTTTGGTATCAGAGCTTAAGTTTGTTCCTGTGTTGGTGATTACAGTATATTTCTTCAGACTTTAGAAAAGGTATAACTCTAACTTTTTAAATCTTTAGAATTTTACTTGTAGATCTAGAAAAAATATTATATAGTTTTACATTTTACAAAGAAATAGAAGAGATTTTTGAATACGGTATAGAATTAATTTCTCTTGAAAAATATAAACTTATAGATTATTTATTTGCTATCTTACAAGTAACTAAAGAATTACACCCAGAATTAAAAGAATATATTTTATATAGATCTTTAATTTCAGAATTTAGAGAAGAATATTTTATAAATAATTTTGATCAGATATTTATATCAGATTTAAAATTAAGAATTGAATTAGATAATATAGATAATAATTTTTTATCAGATCATACAAATTTTTCATTAGATTCTTTTTATTATTCAGATTAAAGTTTTAAACTGGATCTTTTAGTAAAAGAGGTTAATAAATTAATTGGAGAATTAAGTGCTCTAGAAAAAAGAATCTTCAATATTGAGAAAGATATTAATAAAATTCGTGAAAACTTAGATTTTATTAAAGAACAGAATTTAATTATTTTAAATAAAATTTCTAGAGTAGAAGATAAAGAAAAATTTTCAGATCTTAAGACTACAGAAGCAATAGAAAATATAAATAAAAAATTAAATAATATAGAAAATAAACCAACTCAAGAAGTAGAAAATATAATAAATAAGTACATTCTACTAGAGTACTCCTTTTGTTATTATTATTTATCTTTTTTGGACATGTATATATATATATATATTTTAATTAGATGGTTTTAGCAACAATTTAACTGGACCTTGCATGTGGCTCATCTTTTGTATAATTTTTTTTTTTTTTTTATTTATTTTTCCCTCCCTTTGGTTTATGTGAAATTGATACTTTTTTCTTTCTTTTGATTTCTCGTTGCACTTTTTATAATTTTGTTGGGCAAGAACGAACTGTTTCTGGTAACTAATTGTTTAAATTTCTATGTAGTGTGACAATACATATTTTATGAATCTTAAGATTAAGATTTATTAGCGAGTGTTGACAAATACACAACAATAGTTCAATACTTACATCAATTGAAAAATAAAATTTATGCCTCTATTTTTTATCGCGTTTTTACTATATTTGGTTGAATTTCCTTTTTATCTATGCTCAACACAATTAGTCAAATATATGGTAATTTTCATTAGTGCATTTGTTTAAATTCAGTTAATATTTGATAGCATTGGATTGTTTCTCAATTAAGTTAATCAAAATGATGATATCTAATGCCTTATTCTTATTCATGATACAACCTGGTTTTAAAGCAAAAATGATGATAGTGTCTTAAATGACGCTCTTAAGAGCATATCAATGACTAGATGAGAGGGAAGCGTCAAGTCATAATTCAACCATCCTCCATAGTCATTATCAAGTTTTTCTTCATGATGTAAAAGCATGGTATAAAAAAACATTACGTGGTATTACTTCGTCCATTTAAGTATGAGACTCTATCTATACTCTTAATTCTTTATGATGTTTGTAGGATACATCGGAAAGTTTGAGGACGTCGATTATCACCGATCTGGAAAAAATGTGTTTGAACAAATGTGAAATCATCAAACCTCATTTTGATATTGGTATCCAGGAAATTGAGGGATGGACTGCAAGTTTGCTTTCGTCTAGGCAGGTAATTTGTAAAATTACTATACATTAATATTTAGATGATAATCACTTGGTGAATATTGAGTTATCAGCTTGGCCATATGATGATATATATGTTCTGCACATGTAACTTTATTTCATGGAATATTGTTTTGGATCTCACACACACACACATTCAAACTTTTATTAAGGTATCTTCAATTGGTATGTGAATGAGATATCTTCATTCTCAAATATTTTCACATCTTCTAATCATGAAATGTGATTATCATGCTTAGTTGTACCCTCATTTCATCTGTCCTTGCCTTTGTAGGTTGAGCATATTGTACTTGGTATAATAATTACACTTTAAAAAAATACTATCCTGTCACATTGGATGTGCAATGTTATTCTGTCAATCCCAAGGGAATGCTAATTGGTCAAGTCCTCAAAATTGAATCCCATATTTCTTTCTTTTCTTCCTTCAATACCTTTGTTTTCAATTGTTTGACTATCATTTTACTTTTCAGTTTGGATACATTCTACTGATTATATCTACTGACGTCATGGACCATGATGATGTTAGGAGAAAGAATGTTGGTCAAAAAGTGCAATCTCTATGCACATTAGTTTCTAATGTGAGTTATTCGTACCTAAATCTACATGGTACTTTAAAAAATTAAGGAAGTGTCTTCCATGCTTTGGTTGCTTGGAACTGAATCAAGTTAAATACCTTCATTTCTCATCTCTATGCATTTTATCAAAAGGATGTATAGGATGAAGAATTTAATTTGACAAAATGGCGCTTAGATGATTGCTTTTATTTCCTTGATGATTTTTGTCATCCAAGATTACTACTTATGTTGCAATTCTTTAATGTTATTAGGTTCCATTTGCTATTTAATAAAAATTAGGTTCTTTCATAATTATTTCCTACTTTGATAATGTTTGACAATAAAGTTGAGTATTGACAATTCTTAACTTTGGAGAAGCGAATGCATGAAAAAATGTTATATTATGCATCAAAGGTTTAAGAACAAGTCACAAAAAAAAAAAAAAAAGAAAAAAAAAAAAGAAAAAGAAAAAGGAGCGGCTTATTTTCTAGGAATGCTAACATTATGGTGTTTTAATTTTATGCTAAAATTGAAAATTAAAAGGTTTTAATTTGAAAGATTAAAACTTTAATTCTCAAGTTAAAACAATCCTCAACAAGTTTTAATCTTTCAAAATAAATAAATATATATAATATATAGTGGCAATGTTATACTGTGTGATATATGTACGTGTCTTTTGGACTTGAAATTTACTTAATGATAACAATTTTCATTTAAAGGAGGCATAATGGACTAAGTCTTAAATTAGGTCTTTTTGGCTAAACTTCAAATACCTCACACATAGTATTGATTTAGACTGTAGTTCATAACAGATAGTGTTCTTAATGGTCATTCGTTCTAATCTTGATTCTAATAAGCGTCTTTATGGAATAGTCTAATCCCATAGTCATGACCTCATGACAACTCTTTTATAGGCGAGTCCTCTAATAGTACGTATGACCTGCATCTCGTGAGAATTCTTGTATCGGTACTTATTTAGGGTTAAATTCTTCTTAACATCACAATCATAACACTATCATCATAGGAACAAGCACAAGTACTATAGTGCTATTACGAGTCACACAATGCAGGTTCTTGTCACATTGAACCTTCTTTATGTGATCTCCAATCTCAAAAGTTGGGTTACTCAAGAAGGTGACTTCCTTACGGATTTAAGCCCATCATTCTCGATGGTTTATTATTTTCATTATGGACTATAACTTATTTCATATCCTCTTAGACAATAATTTGGTAACATCAATTTGCATAGCTCTTGTTCTAAGCTTTCACATATACATGTCGTCTACTAACTTTCCAAATATTAATGTCACATGTTTAATTATATTTAATTATAATAAGATAAACATATGAAATTTAGAAATTGATTTCTAGTAACATGTTTGAACAGATGCATCCGTTCAACTCTTTTATTCACCGCAAATCTACAAATTTCATTTGCAACACTTTCCAAAGTCAGTTTTTCTAACTAAGAATAATGAAATATAAGATGTTTTATTTAAAACATCCCATATTTCAAAGATATCCAACTTGAATTGAGTGAATATATGGTTTTCAATATTACAATTTATCTCTTATACTAAAAGAATTGCATTTCATAAATCAAGCTAAATGAGACAATGTTACTTTGTATTTAAAAAAAAAAGCTAAAAAGGAAAAATTTTTTTTGAAAATCTTCCAAAATAAAAAAAAAAAAAAAAAAATGGAAAAGAAAAATTGGATGTGGGTCAACTTCACTATAATTATGAATGGTCATGGATATTTAGCACACATAAATCCAAAATTTTAATACCTGCTAACTTATGAAACTATATATATATATATATATATATAAGCAAGAATTGGATTTGGAGTTGGTGAAAATATCAAAAGTTAAATCCTGCAACCTATATATGACTGCCCTTTCCTGGGTGTGACCTTAAGGACACCTATGGTGTACCATGCATCTTTGCAAGCTCAGGCATTGTTGACTGCAGTAATGTGAGTAGCGTTCTGCAAAATTTTCATTTAACTATGGATAATTACATCTATGGTACACAAATCCAATCTAGAGCATGATAATTCTTCTATATTTTCATCCAATATTCTTTTTGAACCATTGGAGCCAAGGCTAGAAGTCGTACCACCACATAGAGACTTCAAAAGGTGATTCTTTTTTTTTTTTTTTTTTAATACTCAGATGTCCACCTTACAACGATTAATCCTGGGGTCTACGATCCAGTCTCTCTTTACGCAGACCAGGTAAATCGTGGGTTGTGTCCCAAACTGGCCAGGGTCCAAAAGCCCCTCCAACTGATCTGTCAAAGTGTTGAGCAAGTCAAACTCATGTATGCGCCTTGCCTTCCGAGGAACTCCTGTCTTTCAGGAAATATCCTGCCTTCCAGGAAAAAGACTTGCCTTCCAAGAGCCCAATGAATCGAACCTGCGATTTCTGAACTGCCCGTCTTGAAGAATTTTAAAAGGTGATTCTTATAAACTATTCAAACAACTTGTATATGTAGCACAGTAACAATTAGAAACAAAATATAAACCTCTTTTTAATACCAGTCAGGCAGTCACCAACGTATGACAACCATTCATTTTCATTAATCAACACTGTTAGACTAATCATGTTCAATTATGCAGAGAACCTCTAGAACAAAATAAAAATCACACTGGATCTCTTACTTCTCATAATTGTATTCTAAATAAGAATGTGTTTACTAGAGGTCTCTATTGGAGTTAGAAAGCTAAATTTTCACGTCAGCAAGAATTTAATGACTACGATGCATTTTCTAATAGATACACATCTTATATAACCCAAATTTTGTATACAATACAGTAATTCATTAACATAAACGCCTACATCATCTCTTTAAATTAAATATTCATGAACATTAAATAATTAATTTATGGTTTTTTAATTTTATTAAATCTAAAATTTAAACACAAAAACTGAAAAATTTAAATGAATGAAAATTTAAAATTAAAGTTTAAGTTTTAAAGTTAAAAATTTACTGTTTTTATGTTACACTTGGGATGTAAATAAAATTATGCAAATTAGTTATGAAATTATACGTCTTTTAAAATATTAAATTAGCATATTATACCAATTGAGTAAATAAGATATTTATAAGTTGTCTTTGCAGCCAAATGTATGTACCCTTTGACCCATGGAATTGTGTTGAGTACTCACTTAAGTTCTGAAGCATGAGATTTATAGCCATAAATAAGATATTCCATAAGTTCTGAATCATTGGATAATATAGGAAGTAGATCGATTCACTGGATTTGATAAGAGATCCCATATAGCGAACTATATACTTTTTATTTATGTTCAAATGGAAACCATATATAGATATTGTAACACCCTGAAATTTTTTCATATTTATTATTTTATTCTTTTATAAAAATAGGTTTGAGGTGTTATCAAATTCTTCTTCTTCTAATTTAAGTGGAAATATCACTTTTATTAAGTGTTGAAATTTGAAAATGTGATCGATAATTCGATAACGATAAAATAACAACTTAAGTAAAATTTTTATATTAATTATAATACTTGAAGTACTCCATTCGAAACTATTAATTTAAGATTTAACATAAAATGTCGAATGCTGGATCTTTAGAAATATTAAATAACGTGCATTAACATAAAGCTAACATAAAAATATTATTTAAATAAAAGTTGACAATTATATTGTTTGGAAGCTTTACTTGGCAACCCGTTCTCATCTGAAAAGTTATTATAAGAGTGAGTATTTTGGAAAAACACTCGGTAAAAATACGTGCACATTCTTATTAACATGATATAAATATAAAACTAACATAACATATCGATATTTCTTAGATTTAGAGCTCAATAATTTTTTTAAGAATTCTCATATCCTGTAGGATTTAACATAACTGACTCAAAGATTCATTCTGTAGAATTTAACATACTTGACTTAATGATCTATCCCGAAGGATTTAACATAGAATTCGACCCAAAGGCATTATAGTATTTCATACCAAAATTAATATAAGTATCAAGAAATAAGAATTTACAACTTGCATGATGTATTCTTACCTCAATGACACCAAAATAAAATCTGAAAATATGACTTGTAGAATAGAAAAATAAATTATTTCTAATAGATTGTGTGTATGTGAATTTATAGGGAGTGCACCCCCTTTTTTTTGGGAATTATACTCAAATCATCAAACGTCATATTAGTTTCAACATTTGAATTCCAAACACATTTGATGTAATTAGAACATTGATGAGATTAATTAGATTAATTGTTATTAAATTTAATAGGCTAGTTTTATTCTCTTCAATTTCCAACGTAAATGTATGAATTTAATGAAAGTTTTGATTTATTATTTTATTATTATTTATATTTTGTTTATCAATAAAATATAAATTTTAGAACACTTTCTTTATATCAAAATAACTCGAGTATAAATAGTCTAAAAATATTTATTATTGAACCAATATATGATATTTATCACGAGCTACAAAATGAGTATAATATCGATATATTTTTATCAATTTTTAAAATACTTAATTATTTGAACCAAACGGCTTATGATAAAATTGTAAAAGTACACGTAAAATAAATCATTTATGCAAATGAGTGACTTGCATGTATCACTTTAATTTTTGAACTTTAGTGTGACGACAAGGCTCAACATGGACTATTTTATTTGCTAAATTACCAATATTAAGCTTAGGCCCCGTTTGAAAAATAGTAAGAAAATTTCGAGGTGTTACAGATATTAACATTAATCAAATTATGTAGATGTCGGGATGTCCAAACAGCTTCACTACTGTTACATCTAAAATAAACAATTGCATATATTAAATCTTCAACAATAGATCGTGTATTTTAGACGAATTGGAATAGGTGCTAGAGAAACAAAACAAAACATTTTTTAATAATCAAATAATCTGTTTCTCATAGGCAGAAAGACAGATTTGCTCGAGAAATGAATAAACGAGGGACGGAAATTTTCTATACTAATGAGATATCTCTTTTACAATAAGATACATCTACATAGTGAGGGGAACACCATGTTAATCAATGAATAATATCGGACATTGAAATGTTTTGCCATTACTCTCTATCATTTCATTAGTAGTTAAAAAAAGCATAATATATTCAAATTGAAGGCCTGGAAAATGAACAATAATTTAGTTGAATTTCAATTCCACATAAACCAGTATTATTCCAAGTAAAAATACTCAAGTAAAAATCTAATTAGATATATACCTGTTGTAAGTGAAAAGTCCATTAAAGTTTATTGGTGAATAACATTTATATTCCTGTAACCCTAGAAATTATTATCATTATATCCCTAATTCTTACCTATAAATATAGGGCTTTGGTTTTTAATAATACACACAAAAAGTTTATTGAGTTTTCTCTATTCTTTTTTCCTCTCATTTTATAACACGTTATCAGCACGAAACTCTTAGAAGGTAGTAATTTTTTTCATAATCATCTATCACGTATATCAAAATTAATTTGATAATACGTGAATTTTACATATACATATGTTGAATATGTAATACGTGATCTCATCTTTTTCGATCATTATGTTTTCTTTGTACCTCCCTTTGAATTAATTAATGTTTTTTTCCTTTACATCAATCCACGTGCATTTTTATGGAGATATATTTATATTAAATCAATTGATATGCATTAATTCATGTTCCTATACCTTCCTTATATTTAGATTAGCCCTTTACGTTCTACACATGTTTATAATTTTTTTTTTTTGGTTTAATTGGTCAATGTTCTTTGTAAGCAAGCTTCAATTTCAAATCTCTATTTTGGCTGATTCTATATATATATAATATACAAATAACAAATAACTGTACCCAACTCATCTTTTCTCTTAAATTCATTGGTTTCTACAAATTTCATGTCTTAATTGGTTAATACTAATTCAATTCTTTTAATTGCACATAAATAGAATTTCATGCCATAATATGTGAATATGTTTCTACATGTCACCAATTTTTTTTGTGTTTCACTCAACTCACGTTATTAATTCAAAATAATATTTTACATGTATTTGTATATTAATTAATGGTGAGCAATTGGATGTATTATCATTTTTTTTTTATGTTTAGTTATGAAACATTACATTAAATTTATTTTTAATTGTTGTTGCTCCTGAAATAGCACAACATTATAATTAATATTCCAGAAGAATATTAATCATAGATCTATTCGTTGTTGCTCCAGAAGTAACACAACATTATAAGAATATTATTTGCTCCTGAAGAGCATAAATTATAACTTTCAATATTCCAGAAAAATATTGACATATTGCACTTGAAGAAATAATAGCAAAATATAATCTGCTCGAGAAGTAGCATAAGTTTCGAAGAACATATTATTTCAAAGTAGTGTTTATTCCTAGAGGAAAACACGTAACTTAAAGTCATGTTGATATTGACTATTTGATTAACATATGATGATTAATCATACTCTTCGAAACTAATTGTATTTTCTTATTGTGTAGTTAAACAAATGGCAAACATTACGAAACTTGAGTTTGCTGCACTTGACATATCTGGTAAAAATTATCTGTCATGTATACTGGATGATGATATCCATCTCGTCTCAAAGGGTCTGGGAGAGACAATAAAAGAAGGAAACAATGAATTCCTGCAGGATCGTGCAAAAGCACTCATTTTCCTCCGTCACCATCTTCACGATGGATTAAAAATTGAATATCTCAATGAGAAAGATCCACAAGTTCTTTGGAAAAAATTAACTGAAAGATTTGATCATCAGAGGACTATAGTCCTCCCCAAAATCCGTTATGAGTGGATGCACCTTCGTTTGCAAGACTTTAAAACGGTTAGTGAGTACAATTCTGAATTGTTCAGAATATGTTCAAAGTTGACTTTGTGTGGAGAAAAAATCACCGATGAAGATATACTGGAAAAAACTTTCTCTACCTTTCATGCCTCAAATGTGCTCCTGCAGCAGGAATATCGTGAGCGTGGCTTCAAAAAGTACTCAGAACTTATATCTTGCCTACTAGTTGCTGAACAAAACAATGACTTGTTGATGAAAAATCATGGATTACGTCCAACTGGTTCTGTACCATTGCCTGAAGCAAATGGTACCACATTGTCTGAAGCAAATACAATATCAAGACAAGGACGTGGACGCGGACGCGGACGTGGACACGACACGGACGTGTACGTGGAATAAATCATGGAAGAAATAATCAACAAAGTTATCAACAACAAGGCAATAAATTCAAAAGGCACAAAGCAAACGAGAGTGGCAAATCTAAAAAGGAGCATGAAAAAAGTTGTTTCAGATGTGGAATGAAAGGGCATTGAGCACGTATGTGTCGTACCTCAAAACATCTTGTGGATCTCTACTAGAAATCAATCAAGGGAAAAGAAAAATTGGAGACTAATTTTGCTGATTATGATGGTCCAATTGATGTGACTCATTTGGATGTCTCCGATTTCTTTACTGATCCAAATGAAAATATTGACCATTTGCTTGGGGATGGTGTGATAGAAGATATAGATTAATTTACTAGTATTTCTTTCGTTTTAAAAAATTCAGTCTGAAATATGTTTTTACTTTTCCGCA